GCAACTGGCTTCCATTATTCGTAGGGCTTCCGCGTGTCAAGACACACAAGACGGTTTTGTTCTTTTATTCGGCTTACGAAGTAGTTAAAAGAGCTTGAGCCTGGAAGCTCATCGTCAACACTTTGTCGGAAGACTGACCCGCAAAAGCGCGCGAAAGGGTTTAAGGTCAAAGTAAGCCCCGCGGAAGCCAAAACGCACACTGCGAAAGCGTAGCGAAAGCAGCGGCGAAGAACCCTCCCACTTGAAGCAATCCACAGAAAGTTTCGGCCGCTGCTCAATTGGGAAGCAAGAGTGTTAGGCCCTCTCCCGAGTTTTTGCCTGACTAGTGTCGCACCCTGGAGGTTGACCCCCCTGCTTCGTCGCGCCGAATCACTTCGGAGGGAAGTGCCCTAGAGCTCATCCGTCCAGTTAGGTTATGTTGTAACTGCATCTTCTCAAGGTGCAGCTGCTCCTGATCTTGTCTGGGAGGTTGCCAAGAACCCCATGGCCCTGTGACCCCAATCACGTCGAATGAGCTCGGAGGGCGGTGTTGCCAATTTGTACTCGCCCAGTCAGCATTTAACAACAGGAGCCTTTTCGAATTTGCCACATGCGAGACGGCAGTCGCCGGCTTAATCAGGAAAATCCAGCTGATTCAGCGCACTAGAAGTTTGCCACCGGCGCCCAGGATTTTGAAAGGCATAGGGGAAGATCAAGCCGATTTAGCGCGCTAGAAGTTTGCCACCGGCGACCAGGATTTTGAAGGCAAGGGGTAAAGTCAAGCTGACTCATTGCGCTAGGAGTTTGCCACCAGCAACCGGGATTTTGAAAGGCAAAGGGGGAGATCAAGCTGATTCAGCGCGCTAGAATCTGCTAGAAGTTTGCCACCGGCAACCAGGATTTTGAAAGGCAAGGGGCAAAATCAATAATTTCGGCGCAAGGGCTGTTTCCGGAACAATAATTTGGGCAACCCGCAAATTATCTCGCTTTTTTTTGCCAGTGGCCCCAAAGCGCACAGAAGAGCACGATTAGACGCAGGATTGTGCCCAAGCGCCCCAACCTTTGTTCGCAAAGCGTTTTCAGCGCTTACTTGCGCAGCATTTGCAAAGTGTCCAGAGGCTGCAGCCTTGTTGCTCGAGACAAGCTTAGTGGGTTACTTGAGCCGAACCACGACTTATGCCTTGCACTCCTTCATGCGTGACCCTCTGGATAACTTGTGAGTGTCCTGTTGTGTAGACGCGAGTTTTGGTGACTGTGTAAGCACCATGAGGAGTTGTTCGGGTTACTTCGTTGCGCTTGAAGCCGAAAACTCTTTCCTTCCTCTTGCGTGGGTAAGCCGAAAGCAAACTGTCACCAGCCGATCCACGACTGTATCCGAAGCATTGGCTTTGGCCACCGCCGTGCACAATGATGTGATGGTCTTGGAGATCGCTTGCAGCCACCTCTTTGGCCGTGAGATTCTTGTGAAGTGCTGGGAAGATAATCAAGCTGTCCTTGCGATTGTATCGAAAGGATTTTCTTCCATGTACACTTGCAAAAGACTCACAAGATCAACATCGCCTCATTGTCAGAACATTTGAAAACCCAATCACGAATGAGATTACATTGTGACAGCCGAGCAAAAGGGAGATATCTTGACGAAGGCGCTCGGCCCTCAGACGTGGGGCGCTGCCCTCGACTTGATTCATGTTGGGGGTTGTCCGCAACAATCAAAGCCTGAATGAACACCTCACCTGCCCCTGCCGTGTTTGGCTAGCTTTGAGCGCCTCACACCATGAAGCGAACTCAATTAGTTTCACGAGAAGTGAATTGCATGACACTACTTGGCTCTCACCAGGTCGCTGCTAGACACCCTTGTGTTGCCAGGTTGAAGTTTTCGTGTCTTGGTTTGCATTGCAGTAAAGAAACTTGTGTGCTTGGAATCAGTGGGGGCGACTTCGCGCCCTAGACCGGTGTCCTGGGCATGCCGCACTTGAGCATTTGCCAAATCTTAGACAAACATAGTTGATTGCAAAATGCATCAATGGGCTTTGAATATCTTAGCCATACAAACCAGTGCAGCATTTAATGGTGAGCTTTGTTGTTCCCAGTTGAGCGCCTTGCTTCGTCAAAGCTCGGAGCCCCTCAGGGAGCCCAGCTGTTGCTGAACTGGCTGCCGGTCCATCCGCTCCGGGCGAAGGCGCAACCCAACAAGCATTCGTTGGTTTGGCTGGGATATCTCACCGGCAGGACAGGCCGATCTGCCATGGGAGGCTTGGAGGCTGGCCTCAGTCTTCTCCGAACAGGTGGTCAGATGTGCCTCACACTCTTGTTGCCTTGGCAGCTGCTTTTGCAGGGCTGGGAAAGCATCCATGTGCAACAGGATGCAGGCGAACTCTTGGCATTTTTGTTGCGCAAAGCATTGCCTCCGGACATTGATGTTGCTTGGCAGGCGCGGCTTCAAGTCGATGGGGCTATGCGCGTCATGGATGTAGGAGGGCCGCACAGCCCACTTGCCATAGAAGTGAGTTCCCCGACACTGCAGGGGTGCATCCAAGCGTGGCATGCTCAGCATTACCTGCATGCCATGCTAAGAGCCAGTGTGCATGTGCCCATAGTGCTTCAGAGGTATGCTGGTAGCAGGTATGGGCCACGCAAGCAAACGCAGCATTTGAACATTCAGGCCGGAATGACTGTGTGCTTGCCAGTCTTTGCTGGTATTGAGTTGCAAGCGCAGTGGGCTGAATACCAAGTCAGTTTTGTGATTGAGCATGTGGGGCCCAGTCTCTCTTCAGGTCATTATCGTACTTTTCTGAGTGGACACCACCCGCTGCGGCAGTGGGTGTACTTTTTGGCTGATGATGAGAGCTTCCCAGCACTTGCTAACCAACACGACTTGCAACAGCTTGCTCATAATAGCTATGTGATAGGCCTCACCAGATCTGATGCTTTCATAAGTGGGTTGCCTCCAACAGCCCCATGATGCCTTGCGTGCATTGGGTGTCTGTAACCGGCAAGGGGTGCTAGGCTCTACGGGGCGGCCCTGCGCAGCGGTCACAGCAAGTGTGCAACAAGTGCCGACTTATATTGTTCATGATTGTTTCACACAGGGGCCTTTTTGTATTTGAGCTGCTTGCTAGGGTACACGTACCGGAGCAGACATGCTCATGTGGGAGAGGGGGGTGCCAACTGAGCACTGCAGCTTATAGCTGCCGGACCGGTGCGGTCTGCCTCCATGATTCGCGAAGCGTCCGGACGGGCGAGGCGTGTGAGAGAGAGCCTTGCTTCGTCATGGCTTTTTGCGCCAGCATCTCGGCTCTTGACAAGCTTTTTTTGCCGCTCTTGCAACATCAGCTAGCAACTTGAGATGGCACCTTTGCCTGGATCATTAGTTCGTATCCATGTCATTAGTTCGAGAATTGTCTTTTGGTCGCCTTTCTAAGTTGATGCAATCATTAGCAAGGGGTGAAGCGACCCTTCGCTGCGACCCGTCCTGCGCCTGCCCAAATCGCAAGAGGGGGGAGTTGAACAAACCCACCTTTACAAGGGGCGTGTTCCTCTTAGCTTCCTCTTCGCGGATGGTGCATGAGTTTTGTCATTTGCCAATCATTTGGCCCAAGGCTGTGAAGGGGATCCTCGCGCTTGCGTCGCTGCCATAGTACTGGACATTCTTGAATCACTTGAATTCTGGTATTTCAACTTAAAAGGACCTGCCAGGTTCCATAGCAACGGAGGGTTTTTCAAAATGGGTGGCTTCACGTTTCCCGAAATAAACACACTCAAAAAAGGCCACCCTCAAAAAACACACGCCCAGGTGGTTGATCTGATGAAGAAAGCACTTGTGCTTTCCATGGCCGGGCAATTACACCATCGCTCCAGTCGCGCATGGCGCAGAAGGCGCGTGGCAAATTTGGCAGAACCACTGTCCGCTCTCACGCGATCTTTTCTGCTATCGGCTCCTGAGGAGCATGATAAGCCGATCCAGCCTTCTACGAGCACCCAAAGATCCATGGAACATGCGACGGGAAACAAGACGTAATGTGTCTATGTCCCCTGCTCAGGAAACGCGCAAACTACAATTTGCAATCCAGGGCTAATGGAGGCCCAAGCCATACTTCGCAAACTGGGATGGCCTTAGGTTGCACATGAAGGCGTTTCTCAAAATGGTGGACCCTTTTTGGGAGGGTTTGAAAGGGAAACCAACCTGGTCCCCTATTTTGAGAAAACAGTGAAGTGCAATCGCGCGCTAGCCAGGACTGGTGACACTCTGGGTCACTCCCCTGAAATCCTTTCTTCAGGGCCCGCGACCCGCGAGTTTGGAATTCAGACATGCTGTTTTAGCTACTCTACAAGAGGTGTCAAAGTCAGTTTGGGTTCCTCTTCCAATAGGGCCGCCAAGGGGAACGACTTTGATGATGCTAAAATAGCAGGGCCAGTTCAAAAAAGGGTTGGTGGACAAGAATCCAGACCTGGGTTAGGGTCAAACATAGCTGGTGGTTTTGGGCCATACCCATATGATGTCCACCAAAGGGTCACGAATTAAAATTCATACCCATTGGTGGTTTTCCATGCCACGCCCAACGCCGCTTTTTCGGATTGCCGGTCTACGTCGGCACTGGGAGGCTTGAGCTTGGGTTCAGGCTGGTTTTGCCGCACTACCAGGGAAGGGGTGAAGTAGCAAGGTTGCTCCGGGTGGACGGGTTGGTAAAGGGCTTAGGTTTCTTCTCAAAAGCTTTCTACCCTAAGGACTTTCGTTTGAAAGGGTTCTCATTGGATGAGTTTGGTAAGCGGCAAAGCCATGCTTAGCTGCTAGCTGCTTAGCTCCCTCTCCCAGGTTCATCCCTTGCTGGCTCCCAACCATCCCCTTGGCTGCTCAGATCTTTTTAGTTGGTGTAGTGGTTGGATTTTTCCATAAATTCCACCAGTGAACCTCACTTTTAGTTTTCAGAGAAAACGGCGGCGATCCATCCCCCCGATGGATCCCAACCCGCATAGACGCGGGCGGTGCGACTCGATGCGCTCGCGATGGGGCGATGGGCGAGGCACTGCCTCAAAGACTTCTGGGTGCAGAAGGTGGCCACGCTCTGCCGGCTCACTGACATCCGCTGCCCCGCGGAGGTGGCAGGAGCGGCTTTGCTTTGCCTCGGTTTTGCGGCGTTCGACGGCAAAAACTTGCGGAGGGCTCCGGAAAAAGATACATTTTGCCCATTGAAACATGGCTTCTTCCTGCATTTGCCAGGCAATGTTCAGGTGTATAATGTAAGGATCCCTGTTGTGTTGTTTTGTTGTGTTTGATTCGGGTCCTCGTGGGCATAGTGAAATAAGTAGGACCAGCGTGGTTAACGGCATTGCTTTGTTTTGATTCGGGTCGTCGGGGGCATACCGCAATGAAAAGGTGAGTAGGCCCGATCCGAGGAAGCCGGACTTCATTGCTACCCGGGAGAACTCGTTCGTACAGGGCTGGAATCTGGAATGGCAGGCACAGAAACCATGCAAACAAAAAATTCTTAGCACGGCGCTGGCGTGGTCGCCTGTAGGAACTTCTTGGGTTCACACACGAGCGGGTGTTGCCAGCCGCAAGTTCTAGTCACCACTAGCCATCAAGGCCGCTTCGAGGCAGTGAAGGTTAAGGGACCTGTTTCAGCTGCGCATCTGTGGCGTGTGATTTTATTTTTTCGGAGGGGATCAGTGAAATGCCATGGTTTTGATGATGACTCCGGTTCTATTTGTTTGCAACATGAACCAACCCTTCAAAACCTTTCTTGGACAATGGGTTCGGAAGGGGGTACTACTTTACCAAGGGAACCCACCCTTCAAACCCTTTGTGCGAAAAAATCAGACGGGGTGAACAATATGCATACCCAGGGAACCAACCCTTTAGTACCTTTTTGGTTGGAGACTGGGGACGGTGGTTACCTATGGCCTGCCCGGACCAAGTCAGGTTGGGCACTGCTCCCTAGGTGTCCTTTTTGGTTGGTTTGCTCAAAAAATAGAGGGCCCGGGTTCACCTGGTGGTTCAATTATTTACCAGGGCCATCTATTTTTCAAAGAAGGACACCTATGGGAAGCACTGCCAAGGGGAAATTGCCAGGATGCAGCTCGATGCTTCTGGAGGCTGACCTGCGTGATGTTGTGACCGCCCAGGCGCGGAGTTCTGTGGATAAGCCCCCCTCAACCCGCGCCAAGAATGAGAAACAAGGGTGGTCTCCTTTTGGCTGTCTTTTCACAACCACAGCTTGAGAACCTCAAGATGAATTACGAGGTACAAGCACTTCAAAGGCATGTGGGTCATGTCATGGTTCCCAGAGAATCCTCAGGAATCACTATGGTTTCGAGACGCTTGAACAGTGCCAAGAGGTGCAATGGCTACCATAGGGAAAACAGACCAGCATTTGGGATTTCAAATCAGATGCAACAATAAGACAATTTGAGATAATTTGAGATCATTTGAGATAATTTGAGATTAGGTCCAATCCCCATAGATCTGACACCCAGGATATCATTCCATGTTTCTTTTCTCTCCAACCCGGCCCATGGGATTTTCAGCAACCCCCCCCAGCGCCCCCCCCAACGCCCCCCCAGCCCGCGCCAGGACCTGGCGCAAGCGCGGCTGCGGATCCGCGAGGTGGAGGACGGCAACGCGCGGCTCATCGAGGAGCTGAAGCGGCAGAGCGAGGAGTACCGGCCCACCTTCAGGCGGAACGCGGAACTTCGCGGAACGCGGAACGCGCGGGACCTGGGGTCTTCGGGTTGCGAGGTGACGTCCCCTTCCCCCCCCTTCCCCACCCCCCAAAAAAGGAGCCAAGATATTTTTGCAAGAGCTTGTTTTTTTGGTGTTCCGTTTGGGGTCTCTTGTTAATTGTTCTTTTGTTAGTTTTTGGGTGTTCTGTTGGTGTCCTTTTCCGACCAAGGGATCCACCATTCTGAGAAACTCCCCCCCCCAAAAAAAAACACGATAGTACTCGTGGGTTCCAGGGAACCTAAAACCATCCCGCGTGGGTTCCTTGAGGATCCCGAACGGTTCAGATTTCTTTTACTCAGAACCAGCAAGACATCCGCTTCCCTCTGGTGGTGGTTTTGGACCTGGCTAGAAAGCTTCTGATGGCAGGCGCATGTCCCTATTTTTCCCCATAAAGGAGAGGTTTCAAGTTTGTTTGGCATCGTCTTGGGATGGCTGGCTCAAGAGCTTCTTTTGGCAGGCGCATGTCCCTATCTTTCCCCTGGCTTAAAGTTTGCTTGGCATCGTCTTGGGTGAGCTCTGTGGCGTAGGTTTGGTGTCTGGCTTCTTCTTTTCTGGCGTCTGGTTGGCAGCCAGTTTGGCGCTGGCTCAAGAAAGAAATACCACCATGGCACCTTGATACTACGGAGACAAAACGATCAAAAACAACACCTGGCGATTTGCCTTGAATGTGAGCCATACATTCATCCATTCCGGCATAGTTTCTTGAAACTGTGTGCACATGGTCTCGCCTCCCTGTCCTGAACTGGGGGTTCCCCGGCAATTCAAGTTTCTTCCGCCACGCCTGCGGCGGCCTATGGGAATTTTTCCGGGCCAGCGTCCTGAACTGCCAGGTTATTAGGCCGTTTTTTCAGCCTGAGCCCCGGCTCCGGCGGTAAAAAAAGCGCGAGGTGCGCCATCTGTCTGGTGGACCACGAGGTGGAGGGCTGCTGCACGCTGCCCTGCCAGCACCGCTTCTGCTTCGAATCCCTGCAGCTTCTCGACCGGATCGGAGGGATGTGTTTTTTTTTTGAGGTGGGGGGGGGCGGAGGATGCTAGTTCTTCTTCATTCTTTCTGTTTGTTCTTTATTTCTGGGGGGGGGGGGGGGAGAAGGAAACGATTGCATTTTGAAGGTACGGCTAAAGGGAAGCCACTGGTAGGTCGACCAGGTGGAATTGCACTGACCGCTGTACAAAGGCTAGAGCCAAGAGGGGAAGCTGTATATGTAGCAAGTCTGAGGTGAAAGATGCTGAAGGACAGAATTGCAAACGCTTCGCGTTGCCCGCCCCGGCCAGCATGGTTTTGCCTGGTAGCTACGCACTACGAGCCTTTCCTTTTTGAGATGCGTGATTCGCGACAAGGTTGGATCAGTTGTTTCATCCACGCCATGATCAGCTGCCAATGCCAGCGGGCCTGCGCTGAACTTGATTCAAACCATTGGGCAAGCGATTCTCTCACAATGGGCCAAGGACACTCACGCTTCCTTTCATAGGCGTTCCCTTTCACATCGCTAGATCAGTGTATTTCAGCCCACCACCCCTCTAAGGCCTCCCTTATGAGTCACCCATAACCATCGCTTGGATGACATGAATGTACAATCGGCATTGTCATTTTCAACACATGCGTTCCAAATCGTCCTGCATAATGAACTCTGGCTGAGATTCCCAACGCAGGGCATTTCCAGGCAAACCCCACATTCTGCGGATCATGTCGAGTTTGGAGGAAACAATACGATCACGGCTTGCAGCTCGAGGTACCACTTCGACATCATCGTGCGCGAAAGGCGCTTGAGTGGCTAGGCTCAAGTGAGCTGTGTCCTGTCAGCCAGGGCGCATGGCTCTTCAATTCCAAATGAACATCTGGGGAATTGTGGTGATGACTGTGACTTCTACACATGGGTGTGGGTCAAAGTGAAGCCACCTAGGGGACCATTTACCAGGGTTCCATTTTGGGTACCTATTTTTGACCCACAGCCACATGTCACTGAGATTTCCAGTACGAGTATAGATGCAATTCCTGTGACTTTCACATCCAGTGACCACTGGGAGTCAATTCGGTGAGCTCGGTGCCGCTCTCATGGCACAGGGGTTGCCATGTTGACTTGTGGACCCTGTGGAAAGTACGCCCTAAAGGGAGATGAATCCATATGTCTAGTTTTTTTCTTGTTGCACGGTTGTTGTATGCCCGCGAAGAACATGGATCGGTTTCTCTTATGTCGTTTTGTTTTTCTTAAGGAAGAAGGGAGGATTTGTTGGTAGCTCGAGTCTTGCTCAAGGCAAGCTGGCCTGCCCGGCAGAGGGCTGTGGCTACAACCTGCGCTCGGAGGATTCCATCCATATCTTCCAGATCCTTGGACTGAATCGTCGGAATCGGCGGAGGAACCCTAAACCATCCAGGAGATCAAAAGGTTTTTGCAAGAAAAAGAGGGGGAAGCCTGTTTTGGAGCCTGAAAGGCAACAGCCACCTTTTGGTACCCGGGGGAAAAATCATCTATTCCTGAGGGTTAAAACCCAATCTTCCAGGGATGGGCAGTCGCAGATACGGGATTTGGGTACAGAATGACAGACGTTTTTCTAAATGCTGGGCTTCCAAATTGAATGTTCCCTTTGTTGTTTACTGCCATTAGCATTCGTTGAGCAAACTTTCCCACCTAGCAAACAAAAGGCTTGATGTTAACAGGAAACCAATCTGTCGCCAATCATAGATGTTTGTTCAGGAAGCAAATGTGTGGGTACTCCATTTGGGTCTGGCTCGTCAGAAGAGGGGGGACCGGGGCCCCACATTTGTGGGGTTACTGTCCTTCTTGTACAGGGAACACGGGGAAAACCCCCAACCACCAGACCGGGCTCACCACATGAAGGGAAGCTGAAGGCGTAGGCCCTGAGCCAAGACGCGAGCGCGCGAGGCAGGTCCTGCCGGAGGACTCCTACTTCAAACTTCTTGAGTTCCTCACGCGGGACGACCCCCGCATCGTGGACTGCCGATGCCTAGGCTGCGAGGAGCGAAACTCAGTCAATGAGGGCCTAGGGGGCCTCACAAGATGGTCCAACCATGGTGGGTTTTTTGGGTTCTTTTGGTTTCCCTTGGGTTTCCCTTGGTTTTGCTTGGGTTCGCCTTTGGTTTCCCCTTGGCGGTTCCCCTTTGGTGTCCCCTTTGGTTTCCGCTTGGGTTTGTCTTGAGTTTCCCTTTGGTTTGTCTTCCTTCCTCTCTTTCTTTGATTATTTCTTTGTTTCATTGATTATTTGTTTCTTTCTTTCCTGTTTTTCTTTTGTGTGTTTGTTCCTTCTTTCGTTTTGGTGTTTGTTTGTTTGATTGTTTGTTTGGGTTGGTTGGTTTCTTGTTTGCTTGCCTGCCTGCCTGCTTGCTTCTTCTGCTTGTTTGCTTGCTTGCTCGCCTGCTTGCTTGATTGCTTGCGTGCTTGCTTGCTTGCTTTGCTTTGCTTTGCTTTGCTTTGCTTTACTTCGCTTCGCTTCGCTTCGCTCGCTCGCTCGCCTGCTTGTCGGTTAGTTTGTGTCTTTCTCGATGTGTGTTTTGTTCCATATGTGTTTCTCTTCCGTTGGCTGGTTCATTAAGCTTTGTATTTGGATCATTCAAACACGCAAAGCGGGCCGCGTAGGACTCGTCCCAACCTCACCCCTCGCCCCTCGCCGCTTTCTCCTCATGTGTGAGGAGCGGGTCTTCTGCGAGGAGGGGGACGACTTCGCGGACCTCGGCTGCCCCAAGGGCCACCGCTTCTGCGCCCAGTGCGACCTAGGCGCAGCGAAAGTTTTGGGGTTTGAGAGTGGTGAAGCTAATATGCGGACAAAAATGAATTAGAAGCCCTTTGGGGGACAGCATTTAAGCGGGGATTCATGTCCAGCCAACACTGTGGAGGTGGTCCCTATTGAAATTCATAGCCATATGGGTACAGAAGTATGGGTCACAGCTTTATATACACAACCCGGAATTGGACCGCAGGTGTCTTAGTATTTGTTTTCATTTGCCGATTATTTGGGCTGATGGCCTATGGTCAGTTTGATTCGGGACATGAGAATGCAACATGGGTTGGTCTTTGAATGGCAGAATGGGCTGGCGTTCCCTTGCGCTTCTTTTTGACAACAGCCCTCCCAATGGGCTAGGTACGAGCGAATTGGGTACGAGCGAACACAGCCAGCTGGCGTGGGTGAGTACCCAGGATAGTCTATGGTTGGTTTGAGGGGGACGTGGGGGGTGCTTACGAAATTTTCGACCGCAGCGGCGGACCCAGTTTTTCCCCCATGTTGGCCGCGAAGCAACTTGGCCCGTGGCTTATGACCCTGATGAGCCTGCTACGCGCTTGAAGGCAGTGGACCGGATAGGGAAACCTCGTTGGGTTGATGTTGAAAGCATACGCCTGGCAGAGTGATTTCTTCATGTAGACTTGGGCTCCTTGCGCTGGAGAAAGCCCACCAAGTGGGGGTCTACCTCGCTCCAAAAAAGACAGAAGGAACCATACATGGAACATATTGGTGGTGGTCTCTTCAAAACAACCCCCAAAAGGGGTAATTACCCTCACCCATTGTGTTCTACCCGTACTCGGTGTTTCCACTCCAAGTCCTTTGGTTCGGGGCTCATGCCACTCCCAAGTCGAAGGTGGGACCCTGGCATGAGGCACCTCGATGGGAGGCGCCCAGCCAGGTTCCATATGGCCGTGGGAGGGTACCCCTTTCGGGCGGTGCTTTTTGAAGGGAACGCCACCAATGTGTTCCTGTCTTTCTTTTCCTTGTTCATTTTCTTTTTTCTGAGCTAAGCAAACCAGAAAGGAGCACCGCCAGTATGCTCCAGTCTTTGCCCTTCTTTTTTTTTGGGGGGGGAGGGGGAGGGTTCCCCAGCAAAAACAGAGGGGGGTTCGAACCCCGCCAAAACCCCATGGGTGTGGATGGGCACTCGACTCGCAGGGCCGCACCCCCGGGAGTCCTGTGCTCAACGCGCCGAGCGCCGGCAGCAGCAGGAGCTGGGGTCCCCGCCGGGGAAGCCTCGCTCGATGGTGAAACCAGCTGCAGGTGGTTGTTTTTTCGGGTTTGGGCACGTCGGTTGTTCGCCTTTCGGGTGGGTTTGCCTTTTGGCAAAAGCCGTCGGTTTCTACTTTTTGGGGTTTTACCTTTTGTTCCTTCTTGCCTTGGTGGGTTTTCCAACCAACTATCGCAAGAGGCTACCTTCGCTGGGTGGAGCCCCACTGCGGTCGGTTCCGTTGCGCGACAAGTGAAGGGACCTCGTTCGGCGGCCCCACCCGACTCCCTTGGTACACCCCGAAAGCCTTGAAGAGGCGCGTGGAGTCGAGGCGAGCTAGGGGCGGCAAGAGATCATTGGGCGAATTCAATCCTTCGATTCGGAATGGCTTTTGGGTAGGTTTTTCCGGCGCACTGTTGGTTGCCCTTGAACCACAAGGAGGAGCATCACATTTTTTTGCACACTCCCATACCGATACCCATGGCGGAGCTCATCAATCTAGTTGATGGATGCCTGTTTTTGGATCCACTGGCAACCAGAAATTGGGTCTTGCTTGTGTCTTGCTTGCGAAGGTTCTCTTAGACACATGAAAACTCAATTTGGAGGTTTTTGGTGCGATGAAGAATCCAGGCGTCACCCTAGCTCTCCAAGACTCAGCTCCTAAGCAGAGCGGAATCCTCAGGGCCGGCAGCCCTGGAAGCTCCTGGGGTCGAAATTTTCTGGGCTAAAGCGTTAACCGCAGGTGGTCGCTTGTCTTGACTCTTCATAAGTGTCCACTTGGGCCACCATTTTGGCTCAAGTGGACTCTGACCTTCTGTCTTGTAATCTGAAATCTTTCTTTCCCCTCCTATCAAAGCCATGTACGCCCCCGCCTACGCTGGTGCCGCGGTTGCAGAGGCCAAGGCGAAGGCAAAGGCCTCCATGGCGAAGTACCTGGCAAGCCTCGTGAAGAAGGAGGAAGAAGGATGGACCGTCTTGGCTGCTGAGGTCCCTCAGGCACCTGACGAGCGGTTCTTCTCCAGCGCCGATGAGCTGGAGCAGGCCCCACTCATCCCAGCCAAGCGCAAGGCAGAGGACGAGCTGATGGCAGACTCAGCCCCTGGGGTGGCGCAGGTGCCGAAGGCCCTGACACGCCCCCCAGGGGCGTTCGTGGAGCTCCTAGACCCGCCGGAGAAGGATGTTCCCATGGAGGAACTCCTGGCGGAAGACGAGGAGGAGCTCCCGATGTCCGACACCAAGTGGCAGAGACGCCGTGATCTGATGGCGAAGGTCAGGGAGCAGGCGTCCTCGGAGGAGGATGAGGACCCCGCAGCCCCCCCGCCGGGGGGAAGCGTCTTCACCAAGGCCCTCAAAGTCTCTGAGGGCCTTTACCAATTCAGCGATGACCAGATGGCGGGCGACTTCCCGTGCTTTGATGCGACCACGGCCACTAGGCTCCGCCGACTGCAGGCCAAAGACGTCCAGCGGCTCCTGAGAGGCTTTGAGGGCCCCCAACTCAAGCAGGGGGGCCTGGAGCGTGTGGTGGAGGCGTTCTACATCGCCAAGATGAAGTATGAGCATGAGGCCCGGCTCAGCACCCCGGGACAGCAGGTCGGCAAGCGCGCTGGCCTGGGGTATGGGGGCCTGGAGAACCGCCCCCTGGGTAAGGAGCCCACATCCTGGATCTGCCCCTGCTGCACCATGCCCTGGGTGAAGAAGGGCGCCAGGAAGTGTATGGGGTGCGGCAAGAAGACGGAGCCCATTGACATGGCGACCAACTCGGCCACCCTGGAGATGGCGGGCACGCACTGGCAGTTGACGGTGGATGACCAGGGCAATGCGGTCTGGACGGCGGCCCGGTCCGCAGGTGCCGATGGCCCTGATACGGACCGGGCCCGCGACCTCAAGCTCAGCGCCTCGGTGGATGTCAGCGAGCTGGCCACCGACCCGATGGCATGCGAGAACCCGGACCAGGCCAGCTTCTCGGACTTTGTCCCCTCCTCGGTCCGGGCGGTGATCAGGAACTGCCCCATGGAGCTGGACGAGGATTTCCTGACGGCCCCAATGGGGGAGAGGCCTCCATTGCCGGGCGACAAGGAAGAGGGCCAGGAATGCAGGGCCTTCCACCCGTCGGCGGTGAAGGCTTTCAAAATCCAGACCCGGCTCAACGCCACCACCATTGCCCAGGAGGAGGCCAAGAAGGCAGACCAGGTGGCAGCGGTGGAGCGATCCGCGGCGGTCCTCCACGAGCTTCAAGGAGGGGCCATTGATGGAGGAGGCGATGGGGGCCTACTCCTCAAGAATTTGGACTTGGACCTTTTCCGCGAAAAACTGCTGGATAAGCTGGGCGCGGACTGGGGGAGGCCCACACCGGAGCTCCTCCAGGCCCAGACCACTGCGGAGGAGGCGAAGGCAAAGCACCAGGCCAGACAAGCGAAGGGCGCCCACGAGACCAGAATGCTCGAGCCCATCAAGCCTCCATTCAGTGCGTGGCCTAACGAGGTCCGAGTTGCCATTGAGACGGGGGTCTTTGAGCCGACCACGGCATGGAGGGATTTCAGCATGGACGACCTCACGTCCCTCACGGACTCTTACCTCGAAGCCAAGGCGGTCATCTCGCTGGGTAGGAACCCCTTTCCGGCGGCCCTCCTGGCAGATCTGCCGGATCTGGCGGGGATCCCCATTCCAAAGGCGGGGGGCTCTGGTGCGGCGCGCCCAGGTGCCGAGGGCCCTGACAGGCAGCCCACCATCCCCCCAGCCTCGGGCTCTGGCGCGACGAGCTCAGGTGCCGAGGGCCCTGACAAGCCGTCTGCCACCCCAGGGGGCCTGGATACCCAGGACCCGGAGGTGCAGCTCGCGGTCCTGCGCTGGATGATGAGCAAACGGGTCGGAGAGGTCCGTATCTTTGCGGGCCGCTGGGTCCGACGACCGGGCCCCGTACACGTCCCGGACTGGGCCAACAACCTCACCAAGGTGAATCCGGAGGCGCTGGAGAGGGGTACGCATCCCAGGAACCACCAGGTGGGTGGACTCCCATGGGCCAGGTACTCCGTTGATGAGTTGAACCAGCAGGCTAAGGCGGGGGACCGACCCTACCCCGAGGACCTGCGTTCCATCTTCTGGGCGGCCCCCCACGATCCGGATGAGGACTTCCACTGGGCGCGCCAGATCTCGTCCTGGACACTTCCAGGCTTACTGGGGATGTTTGGTCACAGCTTCACCCTGCGCCAGCTCTGCGAAGTCTGGGAGTCCCTGCCACTGCTACAGGGCCCTAGGCAGCTCTGCGAAGTCTGGGAGTCCCTGCCACTGCTACAGGGCCCTAGGCAGCGGGGCCCGAAGAACAAGGCCCAGAATCAGATCCGCCTGGAGGGCTGGGAGACCCTGAAGGAAGACGCGCGGTGCTTCCTGAAGGAGGAGGGCCTTCCGTTCCCGCAGACAGGACCGGAGTGGCGGTTGGTCTACCGGGCCATGGGCAAGGTCCTCGCGGCCCGGGCCTTCCTCACGGACACCCCGGCGGAGGTGATGCCAGGACGTGGCGGACTCCAAGGAACAGATGATCCTCCGGGCGGTATGTGATGAGCGCATATCTGTCCCGGTGGAGAGTCTCCAGCAGTTCCCAGAGGTGTACAAGGCCCTCATGGACCGCATTGGAGGCCCGGGGGCCCTGGCGGAGGTGAAGGTCAACTGGCGCTGCAACACGAAGCAGTGGTGGGTCGGCGCAGTCCCCGACTCAGTGGCCCCCTCCATCTACCGCAAGCTCGGCTACACCAACGACATGATCAAGCTGATGGGCCTTGACCCCTCCGCCCCTGGGTGCCGGACAGGTGCCGATGGCCCTGACATCCGCCCCAGGGGAGGAGAGGGCGATGAGGGGATCGTTTACCCCCCCATCACATCGGACAACGTCCACGGCGTGGTGGGCAAGGACTACCGGAAGAAGAACTATCCGGCGGAGACGAAGCATGTCTTCTGGGCGCACATGGAGTGTGGCCTGGTCCTGAGCTCCGTCACCCCGTGGGAAGACAAAAGGGGAGACCCGGGGGGGCTACATGTGCAAGTACTGCAAGGGGTACTGGCGCGCCGGGGGAGGGGGCACCCGCCTCCTCCAGATCCGGGCCGGCAAGGCCATCCTTCAGCTGGTGCTGGACGAGCCGCCGGATGGCCTGTACAACCGCTGGGTCAAGGAGCGGTTGGAGTTCTACCGCCGGGTAGAGCCCTCTGCCCCGCTGCGGGATGTCTCCGTGGTGGACCAGAAAGTCCCCCGGTTTAGGTTCAGCCACATCACCCAGACCGGCCATGTTTCAAACGCCATCTGGGAGCTGATTCTCCGGAATCCGGAGGCGGCGGCGCTCAAGCGCATTGACGACATTGCAAAGGGGGCCGTATGATCATACAGCACTGCGGCCATCCGGAACGGATTCGCAGCGCACCCCGGGGGGGACAGCTGCCGAAGGCGCTGATATCCCCCCCTGGGCACAGCACAGGCCTAGACCTGTACCAGGCGAGAAAAATTGGCGCGCTTGGGCTGGTCCGGGGTGCGCCTTGGCTCCCCTCCCTTGTTTGGTTCTTCCCTTTCCGGGGCGGCTCCCTGGGTCCCCCCCCCCCCTTTTCCCCCGTTTCGGGATGGGCTTTCCGGGGTTTTGGGGGCTCCCCTGTTGTTTGGTTGGGGTTTGCGCCTAGGAATTAGGCTCCTGGCTCGAGTGGATCACGATGATGTGGAGGCCCCGCCTCCCTTCCCCGTTTGGAACGACCTTCCTTGGGGTACCAACCGCGTTCCAGTTGATTTTGCATGACCTTGGATTTGCACCAGTGCAGTCGGACGGGGAAATCCTCGTGGCGTGCTGCCTGGAATGGGTCAAAAAGGACCAGGTTGCCAACCCGGATGCGGTGGTCTTTGACCCGCGGCCGTGGACACGGATCGTGGGGCTGGCACCTGACGGCAACCATGTCCTGGTGGCCTCGGACACCTACAACTTGATCCTCGCAAGGATACTCGGCTCCCAACCACAACCGCTGGAGGAG